CTCACTTTCACTCTCTCTCTCTCTCTCTATGTCCAACATTCACACACATAATTCCTCATTTTATGTGGAGAATTTTCTATTTTGTTGTTGTGTTGTTCTCCCCAATGCGTACGTACGTAATACAATTTAATTGTGGCTACAAAAACAATTAATCAATCAACAGCGGAATTAAGTTATTTCAAACAGAGCAACAGCCACAAAACAAAAAGAAAAATAAAACAAAAAGCAGCCAGCTGCAGCAGTAGCCAGCCCCCTTTAACCAATAACAACAAAGTGTCTGTGTGACAGTGAGTGCGCGCGCGGACTTAAAAAGAAAGATATTGTCAATTATTTTAAATATTTATTTGCAAGTAAGTTACGTATTTGTTTTCTTTTTTTCTATGGCCTGTGTTTTGTTTGTTTTTGTATATTGTTGTTATGTTCTCAATCGATGTTTTCTAAAGAGAGAAATGACGAAAAAAAAGCATATCAATTGCTGTCAGTCTTGCTTCTCTCGCACATTGGAATGTTTGCAATACTTTGATTGTATGTATTTCTCTCGCTCTATATATATGTGTGTTGTTACTACATATTGTTATTAGGTAAATAAATTGTTGCCTCACTACGTGTTGTATTGTTGTCGTTGTTGTTGTTTTAACATGTTGTTTTTTATTTATTGAGTTCCGTTCAGTGTTGCCGTTCGAAGATTTTTTTTCCGCCCAAAATTTCCCCTAAAAAGTGCCAAAATGAACAATTTATGCCCAAAAAATCAAGATTTGAAAAAGTATACCCTGACGTTATATATTAACAAGTAAAAAAGTGTCAGTCGGCGTTGCCGACAGATATATACCCTCACCCTATGGTGATTTATTACTCATTTTAAAAAAGGTATATGTTTAATTAAAGATGTTTCGGATTTTTTCTTTTGTAGGATGTACCAGAAGAGAGGGCAGACTTGTCCCACCTTATAACTTGATCTAGGCTTGGTAAATATAATAGGTTGTGCAAAGTTTGGTTCAAATCGGGCATTCCAATCGCCTGATATTGGATTTATAAATATTGAAAATTTTTACCTTTTTGGGGGGAGGTAACAGAAGGAGTGGGCCAATGGGTCCCATCTTCAAACTTGATCTAGGCTTGGTAGAGGTAATAGGTTGTGCACAGTTTGGTTCAAATCTGACAGTTCATTAGCCCGATATTGGATTTATAAATATTTCTGGCTGGTACGCACGATAACTCTCGAAGGGAATAATCCTAATATTTCTTCTAAACTTAGTTTAAGTTCAAAGATGGGGAATATCAAACCACTCCTTCTGATAACTCCGACACAAAAATGTTGATGATGTTGACGATGGCATGCATCGGTTCAATTCTTCTGATACATCCTCACAAAGTGTCCAAATTGTCATTATATATAAACCCAATATTAGGCGATTTAAACAAGGCAAATTTAGGACAATTATCGGCTACCATCATCTGTAGTACCTCTCCCACAAACAGTCACAACTTAAAAAAAATATCCACCTAGGGTATAAGGGTATATATCTGTCGGAAACACCAATCTCTAGATGGGCCAGAAAAAAAGCCAAAAATAAATTAGTTGGTCCATTTTATCCCCCAAATATTTACCGATCATTGACCTAACCGATAGGTGCCGTCTTTGTGCAGAACATACATGCAAATGACGTAGGATCCATAATTACAAATTATAATGAGCAGACGGTCAAGATATATCGGTATACTTTAAGGAGCAATATTACGTCTTTATTAATTCTTGGGCCTATAATATAACTCACAACATCGAGAAAACAAATGTAAAATATCAATTTGATGATAATAAAAAATGCCCAAAATCCGCCCAAGTCATAAATTTTACATTTTTTATGCCCACTTTTGGGCATAAATGCCCACTTTCGGCAACACTGGTTCCGTTTCCATAAACATTTCCCCCTTTCTTTTAATAACATTTGCACTTGCTCTATTTTGCCCGCCGTTTATGTCACTCTCTCTCTCATTCTCTTTTGCTCTACGACTGGTATAGTGTGTTTTGTATTTTGCAGTGTTTTTGTGTGTTGTTATGTGCGAGTCATCAATTGTTAACCGCAACCCTGACCCCGTTGTCTATATACGATTGCATGTGTTTTATTATAATAGAAGAATACAGAAAAAACAGCAACAACAACTAACTATATATATTATTTATATTTCTTTAATCAAATAATTCACAATAGGTGATAATTTAATCAGATGAGCATCGATATGCTGTTATTGTGAATGTTTATTTTATACTAATGACATTTTAATGATCAGCTGATGATTAAACATTAGGTCTGTTTCATTAATTTTTTTTATTGAAGATACCAATAACAATGGTACAAAAATAAAAGTTTTGACATTTGAAGTGCAAAAAATAACCTCTACATAATTAATTAGTATAATAAATGTTAGAAGTAATAAAACCAGTTTAATTAAAAAAAAAACATGACACTAGCTAGAATTACTTTACAAAATTAATAAAAATAGTGTGTAGTGTAATGTCTTATAATGTCATATATATGAAAATATTTCAATTCGGAATAATGGATTTTGACAGTAAACTTGAAAAAGCTGCCGATATCAGCTGGTCTCCATCAAAGCTTGTCAAAATCCATTTTTCTGAATTGATTTCCATTAGATGAGGAGAAAGTCAGATGTTCCTTCTCAAATCTAATGACAAAAATTGGGCTTTGTTTACGTTTTCATAATGGAAGCCAATTCACAATAATGGGTTTTGACAGCAAACTTGAAAAACTGATATCCAGCATGTTTCCCTGGATGACCTTATAATCCTTGTGTACCATAGATTGGTTTTTGAAGTGCTTAAAACTCCAGAATAATTTGAATATTAAAATATATTCAGATGGACATTAGTAGATTGTTATTGTGAATGAAGCTTTACTGATCACTGCATCTTACAATAGGATATTTTATGATTTTTACAGTATAAAATGCTCAGTTTAGACTGTGCTTCAAAACAATTTAAAACTAAAACTAGGTACAAAATGCTAGACGTTTAGACTATTATAAAAATGCCAATGTTGACAATCAGCTGTTAATTGCGTTGTAAGGTTGCCCTATATTAGGTGAAAAAATTCAAAAAATATATGTTGTTTTAAATTATATTAATAAACATTATAAATTTAATCAACTTTTCAATATTTTAAACAACCATTTTAAATTTTAAAGTATTTTGAAGCGTTGATATTTTGGTAGAAGTTAAGCATTTTTTTTAGCACAAAAGCAGGGTTGTATTTGTAATTCGTTTTAGGAAAGGATTGGTACCAAGTATAAATATTGAGTGGATTTAATATGTATGGTAAATCGTCTAAATTAAGTTCGTTTTAGCATTTAAATCGAGATAATGCACATTATCACAATAAAACCCGCCTTAAGTACCATAATAAAATATCGTGAAAATATGTAAAGTAGATTATGATAAAACTATGACATTTGTATAGAATGTATAATTTTTCAAAAATAAAACACATTTAAATTGTCAATTTCCTTTTTTTCAAACATCTAATAAACAACGTAGCTTAGAAAATCGCGTTATTTATATATTATTTTAGTGTGTGTTTTTAGAAAGAGAAATCCTAAATGATATGTCAGCCAATTCTGACCACTAAAGATTTAATTGGAAATAAGATTATAATTGAAAATTGTAACGGGGACAAATTGTCAGCAAAAAATTGTTTATATCTGTGCACATGGTTAAATTATGAAATAACACTGTTAAAAACTTTACGATGACTTCTAAGTCACCACATTTTTTAATTTAAAATAAAGTGGTTTTAAATAAATATGAAATTCCTTAAAAAAAATATTATTTGATTCGAGACTATTTTATGCAAAGAGCAATATAATGTCTGTTGCAAAAATATTACTTGTTTGCTGCGATAAAAATTTTTCAATATTAATTTAAACCTTGAAAAATTGTTCCAACATTTCAATTAAAATCACAATGTTTGCGATGAATTATTTATTTACTTCACATTTGATCTGATCCAAATTCGTTTGTAATTGACCCATTCATATAATAAATGTCTATAAAAATGTAAACCAAAGACTTCATCCGTTTCGTGCGTTAGAATTTAAGGAATATACATGTTTATTCCAATAATTTAATTTTATTTTTTTTAATTATATTATCTTTATTACAATTTTTCATTTTCCTACAATTTTTCTTTTTTTTAATTTTTTTTCATTGTAATTCAGTGTAAAATGATCTTCCGTTGACATAATTATCGTCACTGTCTATCTGCAGCAAAATACAACCATGTTTAGTGCTAAATCATTCACAATTGCAACCTAACCACACTTACTGCAAACATTGTGAATGACAGCAGACGATGGGTTGTTTACATGAAATAGCACGAACATATGTTTTTTTCTATCAATCATTGTTATAGAATTTTTTGGATGCATCTTCTTTTGTTGAAAAAAAATCGCGATAAATCTAAAATGGCAGAAATCGATTGTGTTATATACTCTAATTAATAATGTTATTTAAATAATACAATTACAAAGATTTACTGAAAATTGAAAAACAAAAATTGTATAATAAAGAAAAAATACAACAAACTCTGCTATTCTCTTCTAATGCTGAATGTTTCAAAATTGTATCTTCAGAAAATTTTGAGAAAACCATTGATGCAGGTAATATACGACAACGACGACAGCGAAGAGTTCATAGTACGACAAACCCACCCCTATTTCGTATGCGTGATTCCCAAAGGGAGTCTTTTTAATTGTGTAAATGTCCCATCGATATAAAATTACTTAAGATCATTTTGAGGTATAAAATTAAGAAGAAAAAATGTGAATTTTATTTCTTTGTCTCTCATTAGAATATTATGTGTAATTGTTGCAAATTGTGTGTGTCTGTAAATGTCTTGTTTTTTTCTAGCTTGCTGTTTCGTTGATCTTTAATTGTTATTAACTTTCTCTTTTTTGTTGTTTTGTTGAACTTTCTTCTTCTCTAGCATGGATGACTATGAATATGAACGAAAAGCGCGAAGAGAACGTGAAAAATCGGAAAGGCAGCAAGGTCAGGCATCATCGTCATCAAATCGCGAGGAAGCCCTATTTTCTGAACCCCGACGATTAAATCCATCCGAAGCCGATGATGCCATTGCTGCCAAACTGGGTGACTACTCGAAAGTCAAAGATTTCATTAATCTTTATACGGTGGGCATTTCCAATTCGGGACATCGGCAAATGCCTCCGAATGCCGTATTGCCCGGTATTGTGCCCACAAGTCCAGCCTCATCGTCGCTAATAACGCCAATGCCTTCGTCCTCCTCATCCTCGTCGTCATCATCACGTCTGCCGCCACCGCCTCTACCACAATCACAACAACCACCGCCGTCACATCACTATCAACAGCAATTAAGACAAGCGCCTTATGTCAAACAGGCCGATAATAAACCACCTTATAATGGTCGCGTTTGCTATCCAGGTCAATCGGTGAATCGTTCAAGTAGTAGTGGTGGTGGTGGTATGGCACCACCCAAAGGTCCACCAGGTTCTCTGTTGCCACCTTCCTCGACACATATGCCAAATGGACGTCAAACGTCATCATCATCAGCAAGTGAAAAATCATATCTGGGACCGCCACCAGCGGCATCGTCATCAACGACGCACAATGGCCGTTTCTCGCAACCATCAATACCAAAACAACGCAAAAAACCAGCATTTAATCCCGAGGTAAGTTGAATTGGGGAAAAATAGATTTAGTGAAAATAAGTGCTTATATATAGACAAATACTTAAGTCTGTTTGTCCGTTCGTTTAACTTAAAAAATGGTTGTTGACTATTACATTGGTTTTCTGTTCGGAATCGATTTAGTTAACTTTAAGGTCCGCTCAGTATGTTTTTGAACCTTTTACCACGATCAGCCATTGGGCACTTATTTACAATAAAGACTTCTTGCAGAATTCGATACCTCCTAAGTTATGACAATTTGAGGTTTTGTGGATATTTCTTTCTCATTATTTTGAACATGGCTATCATTGTGAGTCCGTTGAAGTTCGGAATACAACAATATTTCGGAAAAATAAATACTTACCGAAAAAAAGAGAGAAATTATTTTAAATAGAACATATTCGAATAGCCTTTGGCTATCCGCCCAATGTTTCAATAGAATATTTTTATATTACATAGTGTGGACTTATGATGAGAGACAAACTTTTCAGTGGGGATTTCCGACTTTCACATTTGGATTGAAGTGTGGACTTCCACAAATAGATACCTAAGTCTTTTTCATTTGTTCACTTGTTCCCAAAGGTGTGGAGTACAAGGTTTAAACATTTTAACCATGACAATCATAGTCGGTATTTAGTAAATCTTCCTTCTAATATATTTCTTTTGTACTTTTTTATTGTCATTCGAATTAAAAATTAAATCAATAATTTTTATTTTCCAGGAAAATGATATCAAAGAAATTCTTAATCAAGTAACAACCGCATTTTGTGCTCCAAAAATGCTAACTGGCATTGATGCCACACCGCACACAACAATAACGGAAAACTATAATCTCAATGAGCCGAATAAGCACAAATATAGCTTTGATATATCGGAAAAAGTCAGTAGTATAATTGAGCCATTGGATTCGCCGACACATAACGATATGCCAGCACCCAAATATGTGCCTCCCCTATCAACAACAGCAGCAACATCAGCAACACAGATGCCTTCTACACAATCTGCCTCTAATAATTTATCATTGTCATCCTCCTCCTCCTCGTATTCTTCCGTCGCACCATCCAGCACCTATATAGCACCACTACCGCCTGCCGCCGTTAATGCCTCTTCAGCCTCTGCCATTAGTAATATGACATCTACCTCCTCCTTGTCGTCGTCCTCTGGGCAGTCCTTGTCTTCATCATCGTACTCTTCAATACATAACGCTGCCATAACATCATCACCTACAGTGCCACTATCACCTTTAATGGGTCGACCTAAAGATACTGGTTTCCTAAAACCTTTCAAGTCTGAGAAGCCAACACCCCCACCTATAGAAAGTCGCAATAATACACTGGAAAATGATTTGGAACTTTCCGAATCGGATGATGATCGTGTCAAAGCAGCCTCCTCCCATTCAGCGGTAAATTCAAGTGATAGTTCTCCATCGGATTCCAGTGAATCGGGCAGTGAATCATCGAAAAGTGAAACAAATCAGAGCATTATACCCGCAGCAGCAGCATCTCAACACCATTTGCAACAGCATCAACATCAACAAATGGCAAGTACATTGGGATCGAAAAAGAAAATCGGTGCGTGTTCGTCGATAGTCAATAGCGGCGGTAGTAGTTCCTCGGGATTGGGTTCATCGGCGCCGCCTTCTGGCGGTTCATCTTCATCATCGTCGAATAAAACGCCCTCACCATCGAATACTACCAAATGGCAGCTAAGTCGTTACTTTAATAAGGCGCCCCAGCATCAAACGCCCACCCAAGATATAGTATCTCCATCAGCGGGGTCAGTAGCAAATTCGGTCAATCCCATGAATGTGGCCAACATCATTACACTAAAGGGTGGTGCTCAAATAATACCCGAACCTCCACAACAGTTAACAAACATCAAGAACGAGTCTATGCTCGATGATAACGACGAGGATGAAGACGATGATGGCGACGAAGAAGCCAACAACTTAAGTAAAGACATTGTCCGATCCTCAAGAAGATCAAGAGGCAAAAAGGATGGTGGTGCTGGTGGCAAAAATGATACATTCCCGCATGCGGGTTTGGCTGCAGCTTCCGCAGCTTTTCCTACAAGAAAACCACCATCAAGTCTTTCGGTCACGCCACTGTCTCCCATCTTGACTGACATTAAAAAAGAGGCATCTACGCCACATCCCAGTTTGGTATTGGGCGGTAATTCCAATCAACAACAGGTCTCAGATTTCTTGAGTATGAATTCGAATCAAATTAAACATGAAACGATGGTGATAGCAGGCGGTCATACTACGGTGACGGCATATGACGTCGTGGAGGGCTTTAGTAACCTATCATCCGACAGCAACTCAAGTGATGAGGGTACAAGGGAACGTTTGCCGGTGCGCGGGCCAGGCGGTACACTACAAATACCTGGAGTTCCGGCCGCCATCACAGCATTGCCACGCTCGCCTCCAATAATGCAAAAGGCTCCCATACCAAATACGGTAACAATGATACCATTGGGTCCACTGTCTTCTGGAAGCAATGGTAGAGGAGGGGCTGCGTCTATAGCACCCATACCACCTACGCCGACAAGAGCGAAAAAACCTCGCAAAAAACTGAAACAACAACAAAGTGCTTTATTGGCTCCCGATACCAGCGACGAAGAATCCGACAATGCCAACAAACAACGTTTGACATCGCCGGCTAGTGGAACGGTACCCAAAACCATGACAACCCCTGGCGGAACAAAGAAGGGTAGAGGGAGACCGCGTAAAACGGCGGCGGCCACTACACCGAGCAGTGGCGGCAGTTCGAGTGGAATTGCAGCCGCAGTTCCTGCTGTTGCGGCAGCCAATACCGCCAAGGGACCAACATTAACCGCCAAAAAAGATATCAACAAGAAGCCACCAAGTACGCCTGCAACAACGCCCTCCAGCAAAGATTCGGCCTCAGCAACAGCCCGAAGAAGAATGTCAAGGCTAAGTTCCACAAATTCCTTAGGCTTGCAAGAAAACATGGCAGTGCCTCCAACTACAACAACGCCAATTAAACAGCTACCCACAGCATCTTTAGTTGCTGCAGTTAAGGCCACACCGCCACCACCGGCACTTGTAACGCCACAGTTAAACGAGACTGCATTAAAGACTTCCACTAGTGACGACTCCAGTTCATCTTCGGATTCATCGTCATTCTCCAACTCAAAATCTTCGTGTTCTTCATCCGATTCTGAAATAGATGAAACGAGTAAAAAGCCATCTGCCTCTTCGTCATCAGATGATGATGACGATGAAGATGGGAATACGGCCACAAAGACTTTCCCGCCTAAGACCGATGATTTAACATCCAACAAGGCTGTCGCGTCGGTTACTGCTCCTAAACGAATTGTAAAGAAACTGAATACACGCAAATCATCCCTGGAAGATTTATCCACGGCATCCTCAATGAAAGTCAACAATGTGTGCTTATCATCGCAATCCTCATCATCGTCAGAATCGTCGGCCGAAGATTTTCTACCATCGAGTAATTTTGCATCTAGCCAACAAACGGCAGCAGCATCTCAGCAGTCTATGGGTGCAGCAGCCATTGGCAGTAATGGTGCAGCCGGTGGTGGCACGACAAGTGGGGGCTCTTCGCAACGTTCAGTTAACCAACAATCACCTTATAAAGTTTCAAGTGCATTGTCCAGCCGCAGTCGTAAACAAACACCATGTTCTAGTGCCTTTTCTTCTGAATCCAGTGCAGAAGATAATTCCGACTCGGATTCAGGAGAGGCTAGTAAAGAAAAGGTAAGTTGCCCTGATGTTTTGTTGTTTATTGCTACTTTTGATAATAATCTTTTCGTTCTCACTCTCGTAGAAACTCAAACGTGATAAACCCAAAAGTGATAAAAATAAGATCAACACCCTAACTCGCATCTTTAAAACTTCCAATGAAGGAGGTGCCAAGAAGCAAGGACAAGTTCTTATTGTAGACCAATCCGAGGAACAACAACAGCAGCAACAACAGCAAACGCAGAAACACATTTCACCTGCCTTAAGAGGCTCACAAGAAAATCTAGCGGTAGCAGCAAGCCCACACCCACCCACAGCACAATCTCCACGTCTGACGCCGGGCGGCCAATTGAGATCGCCCAGATCTTTGCCATTGCCACCATTGGCAACTCAGGTTTTGACCGCTGGCTGTTTGGGGGGTGTGGCATCACATCGAACGCCCGATCGTGTTCCCTTCGATCGTGTCACCACAAGTGCTGAACGGAAATTACAACAGCGTATCAAGACACCTACGCGAACCCCAACCCGAACTCCGCCCACCACACGGACGCCTACACCTACACCACCCATAGGAGCACCGGTCGTTGTCAATTCATTATCTGGTGCAACGCCATCGGTCTCACCAGCAGCTGCGACGGCGGCGGTTACAACAGGGACCATCGTTCCGCCAACGTCGTCATTATCATCATCATCACGTTTGCCAACATCGCTTATATGCAAAATTGATCTCTCTCGTTTGTTACCAATACCCGCGGAATGGCACGCAAACACTTATCGTTTATATGGTCGTGATGCGACGACATCAAATAGCCAACCTTATTTAACACCTGCTAGCGCTGGACGCACTCCCATTTATGATCACGAGACAATACTCAATGCTGACATGCATTTGTGTAACACACAAATGCGTTTGAAGTCCGGTGGTGGTAGCGGTAGTGTTACGCCTCGCAGTACGGGCAATCGTACACCGTTGCAAGTCGGCGGTGGCGGCTCTCTAACATCCGAAAGGGAACTTTCCCATTCGCGAGAGAGCCTGCATGATATTGCCAAAGATATAAGCGTTATGAATCCCGGCCGTTTGAGTAGTCGTTCGACCGATGGTAGTATATGCGGAGGTGGTTCAACTCCCAAAGACCTTGGTGCCCATTTGCTACCTCCTGGTCCACCAAATGGTTATAGTTCAGTGACTGCAATGTCTAGGGGCTATGCTTCGCCGAGTAACTGTGCAGGAAAATTGGGTCCTATTGTTAAGCACGAACAAATCATAAAACATGAACCCGATTCCATGGATTATACCGAGACCAAATTCAAAACGGACGGTGGCAATGCTGCATCGGCGACAGATCCGGCTGTGATCAAGCAAGAACTTTTAATGCTCAAACAGGATTTCAAACCCAGTGATTTAGACAAAATGTCGGATAAATCGTCAAACCTATGTTCACCAAATACTGAGGCAATGCTAATTGATGCCAAACCACGACGTAAACGTAGTTCAAGTTCCAGCTCAAGTCCTTACAAGGAGAAGAAACGGAAAAGGGAAAAGGAGCGGGAAAGGGATAAGGACAAAGATAAGGAAAAGGAAAAAGACAAGGATACTAATATTACTGCGTCGGTCGCAACAATGCTTGGTGGAGGTGGTGTTGGTGGCGGTGCTGCTGTTAGTGTAAACGAAAAAGATAAGAAGTTAATGACAAATTATGATGGAGGCTGCGAGGCGTCGGAAAAAGCTAAAGATGTGATGATAGATTCCTTGAAACCTGCAACAAAAGATTCTCTGGATGTCGAGCGTAGTGAAAATAATACGCAAATTCAGGTATGCATAAATGAATTATGGCTATTAAAACTATTTGTTAATTTTTGTTATATATTTCTTTTATACTAGAAGAATGGTCAACAATTTCCTCCCACAAATCATGAACGGTTAGATGCGGTGAAACAAACCCAACAACAAAATCCGGAAGAGCAAACCGATAATAATACGTATGGCAACAATAACATTGATAAGAGCAGTAGTAATCACATCGAGACCAGTAACAATGGTGTTACTACAACCACTGCCAGTCCCGCGCATTTACAAAATAGTAGTAATTCAACAACAACAATTAATACGGCAGCGGCATCATCTGCCTCAGCAAATATGCCACCGCCAGCCAATGTTGGATTACATACGGCCGCAGGTGCAGAGTCATCATCAGGAAATGCTAATGCAACAGCAGTGGCGAAGCCGGCAATAAGTAACACCACCAACTCGACGAATGACTCGACAACTGCTACATCGACAACAACGTCATCGGCGGCAGCAACAGTTAATAGCAACAGTAGTGGTGGCGGTGGTGGTACTACGCCAGCACCTCAAGTCATATACCGTTCTTACTTTGAACGGGATGAAGAAGCTCTTAGCGATGAATTCAGGTTTGTTGCGGAATCATTTCTTGAAAATTCGAAACCCTCTTCCCAATCCATCAAAAACAACAACAACCACAACACAAATCCATCCGTTTTGGCCAAATGTCAAAATTCTTTACCAAAGTAATCCATCCTCCATCAGCAAATTTTTATTCATTTATTTTTTTTTTCATTTTGAATTTTTATTTGAACATTTTGTTTATCGTACCAGAAATAAGGTCAACAAATATATTCATGAAATTTAATTTTTTTTTATTGTATTTTTCACCCTGCAGAACCAAGGATTGTACATTCCTACAAGAGGCTGTGCAAAAGAAACATGCTGCCGATCGTGAACAAAACACCTTCAATCAGGTGGCATTATATTTGGAGGCAGTTGTCTATTTTCTGTTATCGGGAGCTGCCATGGAACAACATAGTCGTTCCGAAGATCCAGCTTATACTATGTACAGGGACACATTGTCATTGATTAAGTGAGTAAAGTGCACAGTTTTCCTTTTTAATGCTATTTCTGAAGGAATCTGTATTTTAATGGTATTTTTCTTTTTTCAATCTTTTTTCTAGATATATTTCCTCAAAATTTCGCCAAATTTCAACCAATCAAACTGGTACCCTTAATAAATATGCAATATTGAGGTAAAAATTAAATACAAAAATATGTGTTGAGGGCGCAATTTATAATTTGTGTGTGTGTGTGTGTGTTTTTTTTCACAGTCTCCGCTGCCAATCACTGATATCTCTCAAGTTATATAAACTGAAAAGAGGTTTTTGTCGCCAAGTCAATACAATGTGTACGGAGTTCTTTAAATCCGGTAAAGGTGATATCATCAATGGTAATACTCCATCATCAATATCTCCGTCGAATTCGGTAGGTTCACAGGTGAGTTGTTGTTGCTATTTTTCTAATAACCAGATATCACATATTTAATTTTGTTTGTTTTGTGACTTTTTTAGGGTTCTGGTTCAAATACACCGCCCGGAAAAATAGTGCCTCAAGATATACACTCAGCTCTACAACAGCAAAATCAATTTTTCAATTTCTTAGCCAGTAGTCACGAATTATGGGATCAAGCCGATCGTTTAGTGAGACAATGCAATCTTACCGGTATGTATTTAATAATTTATGTATATGGGCAATATTGCCAATTTTTAACATAGCTGAAGCGGAGGTTCACCCCTTTATAACTCGGGAATTACTTAAGTATATGAATAAAAGGGAATAGTTTTGGGTTAATTGATCTGTCGTTGCAAACTATTCATGATATTGACCTCCAAATTTCATTTTAGTGGAAGCTGTGTCTACTTTAATGTAAAAAAATGTGTAAAAACAGGTTGAGGCGAACCAATTTTTTTTATGTTCTCTATCGATTTGTGACTAAGCCACTCATTTCACGGTCTTCGTGTCAAAGTAAAACTAGAAGCCAACAAAATGGGGACTACGCCACTTATGTATCATTTTTCAAAATTTTAACTGCATCTACCTTTAAATAATTCTGACATTTTGAAGCTCGATTTTGAGTGTTTTTTGAATTTTACTTCTAGTTTTAATACGCAAACAGGGATTTCTAAAAATCGATTATAAGATTATTGTAGTCGCGAATCTGCGTAATTTGATATGTATTTTGTGTATGTAGTATGCACAGCTTCAGAGTAATACTCATCCGATGGTGAAAATTTTGTGCGATCAAATTTCTAAAAAACCTATTTTTCGGGCCAAATTTTTAGATCTGTCTAGTAGATGGATTTTCACGAAACGGCGGGAACTGGCCTTCCAAAAACACGAAATTTGGCAAAAAAATGTTTTTGAAAATATCGCGGATTTATTTGCGGTTTCTGTGGATCATTTCCGCTTCAATAAATGACCTCACACGGATTTTGATATTTTTCGAAAAGAGAACTTTAAAAACTTCAGCCGAAAGAGAGAGATACCCAATTTATCTCAAAAATAGTGTGAGCTGGCACATCCATGGTTCTTAATGGACCACATTGAAATCGGTATAGATCGATGTATTTTTTCAGGGTGCACACCGAAATCGGATGCGCGTTAATGGCATATGGAGTTTTCGGAAATTATTCGGGTTTTACGATTTTTTGTGTACTTCAATGCAACATGTGGCACATCTTAGCCGTCAACAGAAATTTCGCAAAATATAAAGGGATTGGAAGATAAACATCAGTAATTCCTGAAAACCGCAAGCGCATCAAATGATTTTGAGAATTACGCGATTTAGATGGAATTTAAAATTTATATTTCATAATATTATTTTATTTTAAGATATATTCCTATTTATAGTACCCTAAGATTTATCGGAAGGGTCTTGATATAATCCGCAAGGCGTATACTTATACACAAAAAGTGATTATTATTATATATGTCAATTTTTCGGCGAAATTCGGGTAAAATAGCAGAATAACCCCAACATTTTTTCTGAAATTTCTTGTATAAAATTAAAAAAAAAAAATATAATGACATTATTTTTTCGAACCAAAAACAAATATTTTTCCTCAATATCTTGTTTTGTTGTCGCTGTGATTTACAAACCGCTACACGGACTTGTGTGATTTCGATATCATTTGATTCATCATGGTGTTTAGATTATGTAGATATTTTTAAATTAATTTTTAGGTGTGTGTATGTCGTTAAAAATATTGATGTAAATATTGATGTAATCTCCTATATATATTTTTTATTTTTCTCATATTTCGCGAAGATGTGCAACTTTTTCGCGATTATTATAATATATTCATATTCTTATTTTAGGGAGGAAGATATATATAAACGTTTTTGGTCAATATAATAAACGGCGGAATTTTAAGATTTTTTTCTTTTGCCCAAAATTAAAAGCTCGATAACTTTTGCGCGCATCAACCAAAAATTTGATCGCGAACGGTTTCGGAATCAGAACATTTTTCTCTATAGGTGTACCAAAAATCATTGATGTGCCACAAAAACAACGAAGCTGATTTTTTGAAAATGGAATATTAAAAAATTGGCAATATTGCCCATATATTTTGGGAACAAAGTATATGCCCATGTAGAAATCTCCAAAGGTTTTCAATTAAAACATTCTCGAGTAAACTGATATTAGTACGTACTGGAAAATAGAGATTACTTTTGATAAAAAAAAATCAACTTTATGAATTTCCCATCCCTTCAAATGTTCGGGTAGCAGAAAGGAATTTTTGTATTTTGTATTGTATTTTTGCAGTCGCTTTATTTATACTGGCAGTACGAATACCCAAAATGATACTTCAAATTACAGTAGAGACAGTCAGACTCGTTAATGTGCTCTGTCATTCTATCCACAGATCTCGAGAGACAAGAAAGAACTTCATATAGAGACCAGTAGGTTAGTCGCGGCGCATTCGAGTATCTAATGTATTGCTACATTAGAATCGATACGAATAATCTGTGGATAACGATTAAGTCGTAATACGTCACCCATATTTACCGACACAGCGAAGACTGATTCTTAGACCTGTGCCTGTGCCAACCTGAGAGTGAAAGGGCGAGTGTGAAGCGACAGATTATCATGGGTGCTGTTGAAAGTCTTAAAGAGCTTAATTGAACTGTTGTTATTCATCAAATACTAAATGACTCTAAACGGTTAGAACACTTTAATCACTGCAATATAAATTCAAACAGCTATGGTTACCTTAAATTTTTTTCTGTAGGATCAAGCGAGCAGTTATCCGGAGATGCAAGAATCTTAAACGAGATTTGCAACCCACCCCTATCATTCATATCCAGCGATTTAGAATCAATTATCAAAGTCCAAGCCAACCAGGCGGGCGGCATGTCCATGTTAAAGAAGCTGGGTGAAATAGGGCTAGATTATGCGGCCAACAATTAACGATTTTGTCCGGATTATTCCAATTCTAAAAACCAGATTCCTACAGTTCGATTCATTTTCTTTCACCAGTTGCCGAGTTTTTAGAGTCCCTATTTCTCCCGTTCCTGAAACAACATTTCGTTCTTGAGCTTATATGCGACATCACAAATTCCACCCTTCCGAGTGATATCAAGCCTTGGCTTGTCAAAGACCTTAATGGTTGGCAAACAAATTTAAATATCATGCGATCACCGCAAGGCTGTGCCCTATCTCCCATTTTGTTCTCTATGTATCTTGCGAAACTCCCCATTCCTCCACCAGATGTTTCTGTGGTGTCGTACGGCGTTAACATTGACGACGTAAGTGCAAAAATTTCCAACTACTTTGCCACCTTCATCAACTTCTTCCGTGAGCGCAATATAAAATTATTCATTAAACAGTTCCATTGAAGTTAGGTACATCCAAACCGCCCTACTTCATGTCTCCTCGTATTCCAACTACGCCAACCAGATGATAAAAGCTGGGAGTAACGTCTGAAAGCTATGGCTTGCCCCTTCTGGGGAAAGGACAAAGAATCGGTTGTAACGACATACAATTGGACCATCGGTCGTTTCATCCTTAATTATGCTCTTTGGAATTGCAACTGGGTGTTTCCAGATGGCGAGCTGTCCGTCAACCAACATAATGTCTTGTTGACTAGACAGTTCCTGCTGGCATTCTATCTATCTTCCTTGGCAAAACCGTTCGATTCTGGCACAACTAAGATCTCAATTCGTATCGAGAGGGATTGTCCCCGGAATCATAATTACAAAGCTCTCACGACACACACAATCTCTTGGCCCGCCAAGCCTTCTCAAATCAATCCAGAAGATCTGTGGTTACAGCCATTAGCTGCAATTGTTAGATTAAAAAAAGAAAAAATCTATGAATTAGTCATTCATCTATTCTCCTGAGGTGACCGCTAGTGTTTACCATTTAAAAAATCTACGTTTTGAAGATGCTCATCGAAATTGAAGGCTAGATTGAAACAAAGGATAAATCGTAATGCAAATAGAGGGCGGCACAAAAAGGACTGAAGGACTCAAACTGTATTTTTTTATTTTTATTTTTAATTGATTTTTTTATTTATTTTTTTAATATTTAATTCATGGAAATTTTTACGTTTAAGTGTGAAATATAACATCTCTCAAATGGTGTCCATTTTCTTGCAAACAAAAATTGGATTTTTAACCGCATTTTCCGTAGAGTTTCTGGTTCCAAGTTGCTTATTTCTGCTTGAATGTTGTGTTTAAGCTCTTGAATTTGGGGTTTGGGTTTATTGATATACACAACTCCCTTCAAATAGGCCCACAAAAAAAGTCTGGAGCGGTCAAATCTGGTGAACGTGGAGGCCAAACAAAATAACAATTTGTGGAAATTATTCGTTCACCAAAAATGTTATGAAGAAGTTCCATTGTCGCTCTTGCTGTATGCGCAGTTGCTCCATCTTGCTGGAACAATATGTTTTGATTATTCTCAACATATGGACGCAAAAAATTGTCTATCATAGTCCTATACAGAGCCCCGTTAACGTCGCACCAAATAGTTTCCTATATTTTCCAAATATTATTTAAAATTAATTTCTAATACAATAATTTAGTAATATTATGAATATTTATTAATTGGTTTTTCCTTAATTTTTCCAGATTTCTTTATTGCTTTGGATCACGAAAATGGTCCATTAACGTTACACAGTAATGTCTATGAAGTTTTTCGTTATGTACAAGCTGGTTTAAAGAAACTCAAAGATGAAATGCTTATACAATAATAACGACGACAAAAACAAAAACATCTACTTGCGAACAACAACAACAACACACATTACTTTTTTAATACACCAACAATTTTGTTGCTACTACTAATAGAGCAAACGAAATTTTTAAGAAGAAGAAAAAAACTCCAAAAAGTAAAACAAGGAATAACAAACATGAAATTTGATTACATCACCACTCCAGCAATCATCAAGAGTTTTAATTTTTTTATTCTGTAGGTTTCTATACATATATAATATATTTTTGTTATTTATAATAGTAATAATAATACTTGCTGCTATTTTAGTAAGAGAGAAACATAAAGGAATTTTGAAACTAAACAAAAAAAATGTTAGGTTATAATTGGTTTTATGTACTAAACTAATTTAAATAAAACAATTTTTGATTTTAATAAAATATTTTATAAGGGAAAGTAGATGAAACAGAAGAAATTTGAAATGAAGATCACATCAGTTATGATCAAAATATGTGAAAAGTAATTTGTTTTAATTTTTATTATAATTATTATTATTACAAGAAGAAAAAAGAAAGAGTAAAAATTAAGTAAAACAAGAAAACCCCTCTAAATAGAAGAATACTTTTAAGCAATAAACAAATACAATTAAAATAATATTATTTTTGTTTTGTTAAATATGTAATATTATTATTAATACCATGTACCATGATTACTAATATTAATTATATTTTGTTTATTTAAATGAAAAAAGAAAGCAAAACAGAAAAAACATAACATAAGTCATTATTGTTAAAACAACAAATGGGAAGAAAGCTAACAACAACTAGAGATTAGTAATGAAAATACAACAACAATTAACAAAATAAATCATGCATTATGATTAACAACAATAACAATATAAATGTAAATTTTTGTAACAAATTATATAAGAGAAAAACAAAAACAAGCAAACAACAAAACAAAACTTATAGCAACAACAATGTAGCATGTAATTTAATATAATTTAAAAACAACAAAACAAAATTAGTATCACTTATATATACCGGAAACAAATAAACAAACAAACACACATAAATATAGATGAAAACAAACTAAAATTTACAAAACTTTAGGAATTTGTTTTTATTATTTTTGTAAGATTTAAACAATCAATCCCTCATTAATTATTATTATTAAAAAATTGCTATAATTTTAAAGACATTTTTAAATGTATGTTACCCCTTACAAACCTCCCCTCTATTATTTTTTTCTTTCAATTATTAAATAATTATTATTATTATTTTAGTTAAAATAATTACTAAAACAATTTTGTTTACCTTTTGTGTCTAATAAAAAAGTCATAATTATTATTATTATTGTATTTAATTATAAATAAAATAATAAAATTCAAGTGTTTTATAAATATGCTCAAATTAATTACAATTTCATTTATTTTATGCAATTTAGCATAATTTTTTAAATTGCTGCATTAAAATATAAATAAAGATGGTTATTATACTTTTTGTATGTTCGAAGAAGGGTAATTCACAAAGGATTGTTAAAAAAACAATTGAAATTATTTTAGGTTTAATAAAACCCTACAATTAAATATCGCCTCCACATTCTTCAATTATTGTAAAATTGCAAAAGGAATTCTCGAAGCTCAACTTTTTTTTTTGAAAAAAAAAACATGTTAACTGAATTTCAAGTGTTAGTTAATCAGCCCAATCGTCAAAATGTGGGAGAAATTCTATTCACATGGAAAGCATTTCTCTCGAGAGAAAAATCGGAATATCAACAGCGTTTTAAAGAATCGTTGGCGCTGCCTTATTGGTGCACTATAAACCTGAGAAGGCAGCAAAAGTCGTCTGTCGTGTTTTGCATAATATATGCATACATTACAATGTTGAGAAAAATGTCATAACAAGAGAAACGTCAGAAGAAGAGACGTCCCCATGTACCCCAACTCCTAACCAATATCTTGCAGCCGCCCAAAACCTGAGAGAGATAATTGGACAAGATTTGCATAACTTATACCCGAACACAACCAATTAAAGTAGTTTAGTTTATTTTCTTAAAACATAAAATTAATTTATATAAAACTTTCTACATGAGTCAATTAAGTTGCTCCAATTGCAGGTTTGTTTTTGCCAATTTTTACTCTACCTCCCGTATTCGTAACTTCTCCATCAGAATTTTATGACGCTTCATTTCATCCAGTTCACTTCTTTTGAATTTTACCATTACTTGATAATGTTTTTTTTTTTCTGAAGATCGCCCAATTGTTCAATTGCTATGTTTATTCGTTTTTGATACTTATTTTGGGTTTCTTTTTATGGATTCCAAAAGTTGTTTTTGAACATGCAATTCCCTTTTAATTATTTCCAATGTTGTTGCGTTCGTCACGTGGTTTGATGATTTCTTCGTATTTTTTCATGACCGATTGATATGTCCATTTGGCTGACTTCATTAAGATGCTCATTTGATCCTGTTTCTTCACAGACAGTACATAAATATTCGCTGCGTCTCTTCATCATCGACAAGACCAACAGAGTTCACTGCAACACCTTCCACAGACGATTTCATTTCAATAAGATTATAGATAGCTTCTTCGGTGCTTGATAATTGTTGCCCCTTGTATGGGCCGCTTTCAGTTCCTGTTTTGTATTTTAAATTCTGTGCAGCTTTTTGCCTTACATATTTTTTTTGGTCAGCCCAAACCTATTTTAAGTAATTTTGAAGAATGAATGGATTTTATGTAAATGAATGTGAAAAATGTAGTACTAAACCTTTTTCCATTCGGCGATGCCCTTATTTGGTGGTCCCATCGAATTGAGCTCATTTTCCGTTTTTTTTTTCCAAAACCGAGTAAGAGACTCCTTGCTCCCTTTTATAGTATCCACGTGCAATGGCAAGATGTAATTCCATCACTGACACTAGATGCTGCAATTGGGTTTTATTTGTCTTCGACATACAAAGAATTAACTTTGTTTTTTTTTTGTCCCAGTTTTTTATTTTTATAAAAAAACAACTATTTATTAGTGGGAAATGTATGGCATTGTTCGACGAGGGGTAAGTCAGGGAAGGCTATAGTTTCGGATCACGCCACTGATCCTCATCAGTGCCCTTAGTTTTTTTTTTTTTTGGATATTCTCCCAAAAAGCTATTTATTGCTTCTATACAAAAAACCTTTCATACCCAAATGTCTCTTGTAACAAAGCAAAGTACTTAGCTGACCAACGAAATAAACTGCATGAGAATTTCGCTGGTGCCTCACTTCGAGGTTAACAAAGCATTTACAAACAATACCATACCTTTCCCACTGTTGTATGTTGTCACATCGCGTCAAATGCACACAACGACTTTGTTGGTGTTGCTAGTATACAACTCCAGTAGTGTTGGCGGTTTATTTGGGATACCATTTGTATTTTTTTTTTTTTTTGCAAAATAGTCAGGCATAATCCCTGTTTGTTGTTTTTAATAAAAAAACAACTATTCATTAGTGGGGAATGTATGACATTGTTCGCCGAGGGGTAGGGCAGGGAAGACTAAAGTTTCGGATCACGAAGCTATTTATTGCTCCTATACAAAAAAACCTTTCATGAAATACCACTAGATTTCGCCAAAATTATTAATTCAATATTTCACCAACTTTTTTTTACAATAGATAAATTGATTCATTCAAACAAGTGAAGTTAGGATGGAAAATATTATTGCAAATAAATTACATACTGACATTTACTTGCAATGGGCAACAACTACGTGAGGTGGTCAATTTTTTTTTTTTTTAAATTATCAAAAAAAAAATAGAGAAGTACATTTATATAGACGCCATATCTTTCTATGTACCAAATATTGATAAATTGTAGTAAGGAGATTTTTGGATGCTATACTTATAGGTGGACTTATGTTGGTTACTTTTGGTAGGAATATTTTTTATTCAAGAACACGCACAATATCAAATTACAGTCCAAATGGTGTCCATTTTCAAATGGTGTCCATTTTCAAATGGTGTCCTTTTTTTTGCAAACAAAAATTGACTCTTTTAACCGCATTTTCCATTACTGCCCGTAGAGTTTCTGGTTCCAAGTTGCTTATTTCACTTTGAATGCTGTGCTTAAGCTCTTGAATTGTTTGGGGTTTATTGATATACACAACTCCCTCCAAATAGCCCCACAAAAAAGTCTGGAGCGGTCAAATCTGGTGAACGTGGAGGCCAAGAAAATCACGATTATTCGTTCACCAAAAATGTTATGAAGAAGTTCCATTGTCGCTCTTACTGGAACCATATGTTTTGATTATTCTCAACATGTGGATGCAAAATATTGCCTATCATACTCCTATACAGAGCAGCGTTCGAAAATAAACATTATGGGACCGTTCCATACCAAGGTGGATAGGTACACTAAAATAACGTACACAAACACTTAAAATATTTTTAGCGTCACAGTTCCGGAGCACAACGAAAATCATAGCGTACCGGCTGCGGTACACTAAAGATCGTAGTGTACCGACAGCGGCACAGGCAAAATCGTAGTGTACCGACTGCGATACTTTAAAAATCGTTTTGTTCCACTTGCCGGGACACTAAAAATAGTGGTGTTCCACTGGTCGGAACAATAAAAATCGTAGTGTTCCACTGGTTGGAACAACATCTATGATGTTATGCATCCATCTATGATTCATACTTTTAGGAAATTTTATCAAAAATGTTCAAAATTTCAAATATTCATGAAAATAAGTGTTCAAATTACGCGAATATTCGAAAAAATAGTTTTACGATTTTGGGAGAAATATTACAAAACCACATACAGGTACCATATAAAAAAAAATTTCATATATCCATTATTTGAATATTCTTCCTTTTTATGATTTTGTACAGCGGAATCGATTTTCAGTCAAAATGCAATTCAATGGAATTTTTAGTTACGAGTTGGCATCAGATTGAATTTTTACTAGACGACCTATTTTTGTTATAAAATATTCATTATGTTAAACTGTTGTGCTAATATAATATTACTGATTTTTAATTAAATTTAAACAAATAGAAAAAATAAAAAAAATAATAACAAATTTATTTAAA